GAGGATTGACCTGGTCAGTCACCTCAACCACAGCGGGATGCTCAATGGAAGGAGGTTTGGTTAGTCGAGGGCGACTTTCCAGCAAAATCTCGTCGTTCTCGTCATCCTGAAATAAAGGTTGTTAATACTTTTGAATTTAATGAGAGAATGGAGTTACCAATAACATAATCATACCTCTTCCAAGATTATCGCTGATTGTTTTGGATTTTTTGGGAGACTTTTCTTGACCAAAGGGGTCACCTCCTCTAAAATGGGTGCAACAGTGCGGCAACTAGTTCGACCATGGCCTCAGGAACATCAGGGACGGGTTGAATTTGGGGTGTTGATCTAGTTGGAGTTGGCCATTTCCCGTCGAGGCCTAGACAACGGGAGCAGGATAAGAGGCACTATGAGTGGTCACTCCCGTCATCTGGCTGGAGATAACGTGAATTTCCCGTTCTCTTTTCTTCGCCAATTTCTTGACGTGTATTGTGGGACGAGAAGCTTCACCTGCCGTCTCGATTTACTGGCGAAGCCATTTGCTCGGTGGGGTTTGCATGGAAGTTTTAGTATTCTTGGAAGAAGAGGGTAACTTTTTCCTGGTCGCAACCGCGGCGATCACGTCTGCTTGCTTCGATACTCGACCACTTAAGAAAGCGAAGTCAAGTTAGTAAAATCGATCAAGTGTTTTAAGAATAAAGGTAGAGATAGCCATATACCTTGGGTCGTCTATTTGGATTGAGGGGTAGTGGTTTTTTTTGGTCGGTAGCAAAAAATTTTGTTGACCATGTTGTTGACCGAAGCGCCAAAAAAGTCGTGAGTGTATCCTTCCCACCAGTCGCCGAAGGTGTCAGTGCCAAAAGATTCAGGAACAGTTGGTCGGAGAAGAAATTTTTTGCATCGTTCCTGAAACTCTTTCTCGGTATATTTGCATTCCCTCTCTAAGGAACCAGAGAAACGTCATCGGCTTAGGAGGGAGAGGGAAGTAAGTAAAGGCACCGAGCAACCTTGGAGATAGCCGAGCTGTTGGGTAGCAAAGTGGGGGTGGTAGACTTCCCAGCTCGCTCGGCTAGCGTCGTAGCCAAAGGAAAGGTCGCGCGTTATCACGAACGACCCCCAGTTTTGATAAAGGTCAGCATCCTCACTTTCACTCCATGTTGATGTTGGAAGCCTGAGGGAAAAATGTACTTTTGACGACGACATATCAAAAATTCATAGTCTAAGAAGACATCTAGGTCGAAGAAGTTGAAGTATTTGAAAACTTCTTCGACCCGGTGATGAGGCACCGGTCGGGAGGCTAACTAAAGGCCGAGCACTACCGTAGACTGAAAGTTGGGGATCTTTGGCCGAAGTGTGGAAAAATAGACTTGCAGCCAAAGTTGGAATACCCAGAAAAGTCTGTTCTGGTGCGGCTTAATCTTGTTAATGGTCACTTTGGCCAGACAACGCAAAAGGTTGGCGAGAATAGCTAGATTGAGCGTCAGGGAGTGACCATTAGCCAAGGCTTCAGCCACAGGCATATTTTCGACCAAGCACTTATTTGACTTGGTATAATAGATAAACTTGTTGTACCAGTAAAATATGAAGGCTACGTGCTCTCCCTTCCACAGACTATCTTCCATTCGGCCAGCAAAATGGAGGATGAGGGTGTTGTAGTTGAAGAAGTTCTTGTGCAACTTCTGAACTTCTTCTTTTGAAGGCTCTTGACCTTCTTGGCTTAGCGTCTTGATGACCTGTTTGTTGAATAATCCTTTAAGGTCAAGATTCGACGGACACCCAAAAATGGTGACATCTATTGGGATGCCAAAAGGAGAAGTCCCAAGGATGGCTGAGACGTTGACGATGGTAGGGTGATAAGGCCAAAAGGAAGGATCATAGTGTTGGTGGCTGAGCACCAGAAGCTCAGAGCTGCTATAAAGAGTTCTTTATCCATTGTAATCTCCATGGTCGATACTTTAATGGCGTCGTGGATGCCGAGAACCTCCCATTCTTTGCTAAAAAACCTTTCCATCCGTTCGACCCAGGCCGCCCAGGTCGAAGGCCAGACTTATTGGGGTTTTGTCAGGCACCACTTCGACTAATCAAACCCTTGCAGCAAGGGTGTCAGGCAGTGGTCTTTGAAGAGGTTGGTGATGGACGATGGCACTGTATCCTTGAAAAGTGGTCCTAGGATTTGATGAGTGGCATTTAAATCACTCTCGAAGCTCAGAGTTTTGAAGGTGCTCCGGTCGATGAAGTCTTTGCACTTGGTGCATTCGTTGGAAAGCTTGGAGATGAAGGAGGCCATTGATGAAGACTTGAGGATTTCTGGGTTAAGAGCTTGGGGTTTTCTAGGATTTTGAAAGCAAAATGGCAATAAGGTTTCAAGGGTTTTGGAAAGTGTAAAGTACGAACGGAAAAGATTCAGGTATTAATAGGCATTTTGGAAGAAAGGTTAAACGTTTGATTTTCAAAATTGAGGATAAAATTGAGCGGGAAAATTGCTAATCATTGTGGATATTCAGAAAATCCAGGTGAAAAGACCGAGGTTTTCGTGATTTGAGGATGCACGATTGCGTGTTGCGGCGGGTTTAATCCAAAATAGACGTTTCAGCTGTCGCATGTTTTCGAGGGTCATGATTAAGGGCTGCTAGGTTAATGAAGGGACCGGCACGTGGCAGGATAGTTAGGAGAATCGAGATCATGAGATCATGTCTCATAAATACGCATGGTGGTATTTTTCGAGAGTGTTCAATGTTTGTTTTAGGTCGGTTTCGCTTCTTCAAGGCCTAGGCTCGAGCCAAAGAATGTAGGTCGACGACCTCAGAAGTGAGGGGGCAATGTTTGGGCCTAAAATACTGGTTTGGGCCGAGTATAGAATTGTTCTCGGCCCATAAACGTTGCTCAAATGCCGGCCATGTCCTATTAAGATGGGGCCGTTGAATCCTGATACAATAAGGAGTCTCGACATGACGAGGATGCTGAAACTTGGGAATGGATACAACCTGATAAGGGGTTGGGTTCAAAGTCCTAATAGGAGTAGGACTGGCCGAGATAAGATTGGATCGGGGTAAGGAATCCTAATCTGAGCATAGTTTTGATTCGATCAGAAGCAGGTTTGCTACTATAAATAGAGGGAGGAGTGCATCATTTAAGTCTCTCCAATTCAACACACAAATTGCCCTGCGCCAACTCTCTCAACAGCCTTAAGATTTTTATTTTCTTTTTCTGCCAACACATCTTCAGTTTAGATAAACAGCACTGTGAAGGCAACTGGTGATACCTTCAGTTTGGATAAACAAAACTACGTTGAGGTCGACTAGTTATCTATCCAAGTCTCGGTCGAGAAAGACTTTCGAGTCTTTATTGGCAGAGGTCATCTTATTAGCCTTTTCAGCGAGATGAGGTGTTACAGTTTATTAAGGCTCGGCACATTGAACGCCGAGTTGTTTTATGATTGGATACTCACAAGTAAGCTTTAGAGTTCGGCATTCTGACGGCCGAACCACATTTACCATCAAGACATATATCTGTTTTGAGTATCTGTGCCCCTATACTCTGGTGTCGATTCGGCGTGCTTATACCCTTACAAATATAATCATCGTGACCAAATCCGGCGTCGACGATTTGTGAACTTCGCAAAGTTAGCAGCCTTATCTTTAGGCTCTAGAACCTAAAGGCTAAGACGTGTTCCTTCCTCGATCGCAGTCACAAGATTGAGAAGTCAGTTGCACGCTCAACTCAACATTAACACATTTTACTCCTCGCCCGAGCTCGGCCGACAAGTTAGCATGGCCCACATCAATCGAATGACGTAGTTAGCTCATTAGTTACTCGGCCTGCGCGCCACGTAGGCTTGGTAGTTTTTAGGGTCAACAGAACCTATGATGCATTTGACAGTGAAACGACACTATTAAATAAAAGGAAAAGGTTTTAGCAATGCTGAACTCACAATTTGATTTTGAGTTCTTTTTCTTCATATTTTAAAATGTATTCATTTTTTTTATAATTGTTGTCGTCGGTCAAATTGTCACAATTTTTTCGTTTAATTATGATCACATGCAATGCATATAATATTTTTTTAATACATACGACATATATTTTTTTTTAATACATACGATATTATCTACATTAAAACTCACAATGAAATAGCCATAATAATTTAGTTCGAATTTGTCTTTGGCGATAATTAAACCTAGAACTTATTGAACAAGAATACTACTAAATTGTAATATTCGGTGGTCCCGAATTGCCCTTATCTCCAATGCTCATTTTTTTAGTACACTGATATTTTTACACTAAGAAGAAAGAAAGTTCGGTTAAACCACACAATGAGCAGCCTGATTTATATTAGAACCTTAATTTCATAACTCAGGGCAAGTATTTATATGTACATGACAAAAATTTATACCTTTCAACCGACTATGCCAAATTTGAAGAATATAAAAATATGTTTTAAATGTGAAATTTTTACTCTCACGACAAAAGAAAACTATTTTCTACAAAAAGATAATAGAGTATTCTTATTATTATTGGAGGCATTTTGCTTATTTACATCCATATATAATGGCTTTATTTTGAACCCATAGTTTTTTTGTGTCTGAAAACTATAAAAAGAATCATTTTAGCCTAAATAATAATACAAACTATAATTAAAACGTTACATAATTTTAGACCATTGGATCTTTTTTTCACTATTAGATTTGTGCATATTTAATCGCTACCGCTCGATTTAATGTAATTATAAATAAATATATTGAATTTGAACTTTTGGATCAACCAAAGGTCCAATCATGTTAGCCGTTTGATCCAAAAAAGAGACGTTGGGCTCAAAACAAGTGGCTGGTGGGTCCCATCGCTGATAGCTTTGTCGCGTGAAGTGAGTGAGGCGCGTTAACTCCTTGCGTGTGGTATTTTGTGAAGAGTGTGTACGGGCATGCATGGTGGGCCTAATCTCTTATCCTTGATTTCAATCGTGGGGAAAATTTGGCCCACAATGTTTCCATGGCTTATTTAAAGCCCAACTATTGAAGATGGTTTATGGAGATTTAAGAGCTTTACCCCAGCCATTGAAAATGCTGTTAAAGCTTCTTCAAAGTTATCACAAAACCCTATAAGAAACTATAAACAAAAGTCCCAAACAAATATATATAACATAAAAAGGACAAGGTCATTTGACTTGATCTTGGACGGCCATAGTTGAAGAAGCAAGTAAAAGGCTCAAACTCTTCCCAGCTTGGCAGCTTATCCAGCATCCCAGCTCAGTTCAACTCAAGTCTCAAACTGTAAGAAGAAGTACCTTCTCTTTTTTCTTCATTTTTAATTGTTCTTTCTAGTTCTCTGTAATCTAATCTGAGTTAACTGGTGCTTAATCAATCGCATTAGGGGCAGCATACCCATTTGTGTTTTGTGCACCAGATTCTGATCTGCTAAACAAGTTGTGAACTTTTTGAGAGAAATTTGAAAACCCAGTTTCCCAATTTTACATGAATGTGTTTGTTTGTGAGTTTTTTGTGGGTTTCTGTTTTGATAATTACGGTAGCGACACCCAGAAGCAACTTTTCATATGTTGTGATCTTCCAGAAGTATTTCGAATTGCTGACCGAAATTGTTGATAAAAACCTTTTCAGTCATTGATGATTCATTTCCAAGTGACGAAATGTTTATTGAAAAAAGAAGGAAAAACTGCCATTGTTCAAGTTACTTTAGATGTTGGGTCAATGAATTTGGGCTACAAGATTTGGTTGGGAGAATACTTGTTCAGGTTTTTTTTTTTTCTTTTGTCAAATGATAGATTTGTTAGATTAGACGTTAGATTATGCAGCCAACGGGATTTGAATCCACTCCGTGGTGCAAGGGCGACAGCCCTCTCCACCTCTGTGGTAGAGTGCCACTTGCACTTGTTCAGGTTTGAGTTTAATAGTTTTTGTTGTTTCGCATTTTCAGAACTAAATTGGGAATTGTTGTTTGCAGGTTGTACATGATAATGGTGGCTGCAGTTGCATCACCTACCCATCCAGGAAATGTTAGGCTTCCATCTTCCGAGCGTGTCAAGTCTGGAGTTATAGTTTTGGATCTTTATGCAATGCTTCACAAACCTTCTCATGCTTTTGGCCAAAAACTCAGTTCTCGTTGCTGTTTATTCTGCAGACCTCAACCTCTACTGGTCAACAATTTCAAGTATGTCATTGTGCGAATTGGTAGTAATAGTATCCGAGTTTCGGTTTGATATGTTTATAGAAGGACAAGTGACAAGTTATTGAAACATGGTGCCATTTTAGAAATTAATTTTAAACCCGGGCTTTAGTTTCTTCATTTTGGCATTTGAACTGAGAGTCTTAATTTTGTTAAAGCTAGCTGCATAAAGTAATGGCACTGCTTCCCTCAGTAATTGACTGCACCGAAACATGTATAGGAAAATCAACAAACCAGTTTACGGATCTTACTGATTCTTCCCTCTGCCTCTTTTGGGGTTCAATTTTGAATTGTACAGGAGGATGACATGGTCTATCAGAAGTAATAGCAGTGGGTTGGATCCATCTCCAAGAAATGGCTCTACTGGCACGACGCGATTAATTAGGGCAATCCAAGCTATTCAAACCAAGTTAGGTGTAAAAATTCGACAGCTACGGAGAGGTTTTCCAATGAAATTACTCTTCTTCTTAGTGGGTTTCTACTGTGCTACTGCTTATGCTACTGTTATTGGGCAAACAGGCGACTGGGACATTCTATCTGCCGCTTTTGCTGTGGTTATTGTGGAGGGGATTGGGGCACTCATGTATAAGGCGTCTATTCCTTTTGTAAAGAAGACTAGGAACCTGATAACCATGTTTAACTATTGGAAAGCTGGGCTTTCCATGGGTCTCTTCTTGGATTCATTCAAATATGAGTTCAATGACATCTTTGGATTCAGTAACCCCTTCAATTTCAAACTACACGCTTTCTCAATATTCTGGTAACACAAGGCTTGTTTGAGTGCTGCTTACTGACGTGTTTCTCATCCAAAGTTGGAAAAAATGTGACCAGTAAACATAGGTCAGGAACTGCAGTGGTGGAGCAACATTGTTAGCTTTTCAGAACAAAGAGAAGGTACAAAGAGTAATGGGTTTGCCAGAAAAATAAGGAGCCTTTTCGCTAAATGATTTATTGGGTATGTTGTGGATGTGTTTGCTTATTTTCTCCTGTGTGCCTTTTGTATTGTTTTGTTATGTTCTCGAGCTTATTGATTTCACACATATTTTGAAGTTGAAATAATATTCTTTTTATTCTTCGGTGTATCAGATAACTGCTGCGCCCGGAAAGAAGAAGACAGAGGAGGCTAGTGCAACCATGAAGGTTAAGTCCACTGGAAGATACTACTGAAAGAAAGAGAAATTATCAGTCTATACCATGTTAGACCAGAAACCCAATAAACCAAAGAAAGGATCTTCCTCGAGTACGAAGGGAAAAGGTGCTCCAAAACTTTAATCCTACACTCACGGTATTGATCACCCTCCCTCTGATTAAGAAGTTGAGTATGTGCTAACAGAGTCCAAATTGTAAGCCACTTTAATGTATCCATAACGGGCAAAAGAGTTAAGAAAGTGTGATAAGGACCTTGGTGCCCAGGACAGGAGTCATTAAGCGTGATAAGGACCCTCTGTGTCAGCCCGAGAAAAGAAACTTCTAAAGAATGCACCAGTACCAGAACAATGGCAGCTCATGGGGTCAGGTGCTGCTGAAACTCAGGCTTCAAAGATTTTTGCTGGGTTGAGCTTCCCAAATGATATCTATGGCCGTCCTACCAAGTCATTCAATGGTGACTGGAGGATGAGAATTTCATCAGCTAAGGTACTTGTTGAGCAGCTAACTCTTTCGTTGCTTGATAAAGCCCCAGACAATCTCGACTTCAGGCCTGTTCTCCGATTGGAGGAATACATATGCCGTTGGAAAAGAAAAAAACTGGTTTGTCACATGTTCGGGATCACCTTAACACCGCTTGCTCTCAGAAGTCGCATCTTCGTGATATTCATTCGACTTCTATGGGGAAGGATTGCTGATTTTTTATTTTTATTTTTGGGTAAGAAAAGTAAGTTCACATGGAGCTTGGGCAAGAGGAAATTAATGGTTTCTCGTAATTCCATCTCTCGCTCTCGGTGTAGTGATAGTTCGTTTTCCAATATCAGAAGAGGTCCTGGGTCTGGACTTTGGAAGCTGAAATTTAAAAACATTGGGCTACTAATTCCAAAAGTTGGATAGGAAGCAGGCAATGCCAAGTAACGGGCATATAATATCGACTAATCCGCAAGAGAAACAGATATTGCAAATGCAAACTGGTATATTTGTACAAGCAACCTTACACAACCCATCCAACTTTCATAAAATGGCAACTGTTTAAGGAGTGAAACAAATACAAGTAAATTATACTTTTCTCCTAGTTATTGTGTCGCCATAGCCATTGAACGTGATTTGTCAAAGTTTACAATGCTCGGCGGTTATTAAACTAATACAAGGTCCCTAAGTATGTGTTTACCAAACGAAAACCTAATTGGCAGGCGCTTCTTGTATATCCTGCAATCACGCATCAACGTCAGGGCCAGGATAGGCCGGTAGGCTCATAATCCGCCTATCAATGACCGGACCTCCCACCGTGAAATGGTATAAACTCTGGAAGTTTGACCCTTTCAACCCAAGCAACTCATGCACTGCAACATAACAAGAGCATAATTTTTAATTAGTGCAACAGATATCAAGCATAGTGCATGTTGCAATTATCTACTCTAATACATATTCAAAATTGGTTCAGCACCCCTTACAATTTACAACGCGAAGCTGAAGTTTAAAATTTGTATGACACTTCAAATAATGTATTTAGATACATGATTATCAGAAATACTTGACAATTTCAAATGTAGTTAACAGCTTCGAGCCTTCAAAGTGTAACCAAACTTGCTTGACCCTAATGGCCTGCCAACATCAATTCTTTATATACATCAAACCTGAGTATTGTGGTGAGCAGCAACAGCGTGATTGATCTACGGTGATAATTCATTGTCAAATCCTTTATTCATGGACATTATTATAATCTCATAGACAGGGTGAACCGATTAATTTTTTTTCTCCTCTCTCGTCCAATCTAATATGCTCACTAGTACAATATGCCTTATTTCAGAAAGACAAAGGCACAAAACTTGATGTTCAAACGCAGAGGCTCAGCTTTGCCATACATAAATATAGATGTGGTCATATATTTTACATTATGACGCAGATAACAGCATTCTACCGAAGCCAGCCAGTCATGCTTCAATATATTAGGGCCCCGTTCAGCTACTGACTCTGGTTTAACGCATGGTGATACATAGTAATAATCACGACCTTAACCATTGACATCGATTCAACATTCTTAAAGACTTGTTTTTATCACAAAACTTAAAGCAACTAGTTTTGACGAGTGCACTTTAAGGTTTAAGCAGTTTGATATTCAATTAACTAGGTCCAGATATTTCATATAACATGTAATGTACTATTGCTACAGGATAGGGGAATCATTGATAGAAAAAAAATTAGAGACGAGATCGTACCAGGATCATCAAAATAGCAACCAATTCCTGTCGCAGAAATACCAACGGCATGTGCTTCAAGATACAGCACCTGCCCAAGTACTCCAGTCTCCCAAAACAATCGAGGATACATCCACACTTTTTTATCTTGCAACATAGGGTTAAAACAAGCTACCATACCAAGACTGAAGCATCCATGACTGGCAATTTCCTGCATAAAAGCATTATTTTAGGAGTTGGATACACACACACAGACACACAGAGGTGCCTCAATCGTAATTTGATTTCAGTAGGAAACGAAATCATTCTTCAAGTATAGGATCAAATTGGGGATTTTGCAAATTTGTAGTCAAGGCAACAACTCAGATTTTGCGAATTCGGCTTGAGATTGTAGTAAACAATGATTCATCAGACACTTCAAGAATTCCCAATAAAACAACTTTCGATGGTCACTCTAGAATCATATTCCAGCATTATTCAATATCTAACTTACCATAGAATTTATACACCGTCAAGTTAAAACCCCAAGAAAATACCATTTACATTTGATATACCTGATGGCATGAGAGCTTTTCAGCAAGGGCACGGCAATCAGTTCTATAAAGTTCGTATAAAGGAAGATTATCCGGGCAACCCTCTGGTTTTACCCACTTGAATCCGGACCTCGTTGATTTCTTGAGCTCATCAAAATGGTCTTCATTCCTCACCAAGAAATATAAACCCTGTGGCAACCCTTCCACCCTATGAACAAACAAAGCAGCATGAACCTCCGCATCCCAAGGAAGAGCCCGAAATGGCAATCCCAAAGACCTCTTCTGCTTCCCTCCATATTGAGAACCCGAAGGAAGACAATGCAAAAGAATCTGATAAAATGTGCTTCTATCCATCACAGTAACTCCATCCATATCAACCGCACTCCTACGCTTCCTAATCACTTCCCTAACTGTAAAACCCTTATATGAACTTTCACTACAAATCCCACTACTCTGAAATGGATCAACTAAAAACTTATCACCAATACTTAACTCTTTCTTCACGGCCTCTGCCGTTCTATAGATTACGTCCCAACAAATGTGCTCTTTACTAAGCAAATTCGGCTTTCCCTTCCACTCCAATTTTGAAAATTCCGACATCACCAAACTAAACTTCTTATAATTCACATCAAATTCACCAACCCCGTTAGGAAAAACCACCAGAATACAATCCGGATGCTCAAATTCCATCTCGGGAAACCGCCCTTTAACAGGCCGAGAAGGAATTTGAAACCTTGGCAACATTTCAAGCCCCATTAGCTTCTCCAAATCCTCATAACCCAGCCCATCAAGAAGCTTCACGTCCCAGCCAAGCTCCGCTGCAGCCATCGAAACCGCAGCAATAGCATGACCCACATCGTGATTACAGTACCTAAAAGCGCGTTCGCCGTACTTCCAGGCCTCCCTCCAGAAAATCGACGACAACCCAATGAGGAACGAGTCCTTGGGGAAGAAACCGGAGAAAACCCACGATGGGATTTCAGCTCTGAGCTCCAAAGCATGCTCCTTCGGAGCGTAATGCGCTACGAAACTTGAATCGGAGAGCGATTCTATTGGGGGAGAAATGATATAAGCCTCGGTGGGGTGTAAATTGCCGCTGCTGGGATTGACTCTGAGCGACCAGGTCGAAAACCCAGCAGTTTTCCAAGCTGAGAGAGCCAAAGAATCGTAGAAAAACTGAGAAATGGTGGATTTGGAGATGGGTTTTGGAGGAGGGAGAGAGTGGAACAGAGAGGAATACAGAGGAGTGTCTGGGGTTTGATTGTCTGTGGGGCAGTGCAGGAGAGGAAGGAGAGGGGCGGGGGCGTACCGACGGAATGGGTTGGGCTGGTTGGCCCAGTCGAGGCCGTGGGGGCCTCTGGCGTATTTGGTGAACTGGTGCTTGGTCTGGTTGTGGTACTTGAGTACCTGCTGCAAATGGAGATCTTTGTCTTGTGGGTCTTGGGGTTGTTTGGGGTTGGAGACTGAAGAGGAAGAGAAGGACATGGCGGGGATTAAGGTTTTGCTGGCGGTGGTGGTGGTGAGTTTGGAGGCGGTGGAAGGAGGTGGAAGAGTGGAGAGTAAATAGGGAAAGTGAACCTTGTGGAATGGAGTGGTGGCATATTTTGCTTTCATTCTTTCTGTTTTATGAAAGGAAAAAATGATTCCAACGTTTTTGTTCTATCTTCTAGACCTTCCCATTACTTTGAAAATTCGATGGACACGATTGATTTGATGGTTCCAATTTTTTCGCCGATCATTTCTATCTAATCCTCTTTATCAAATAATTTGAATTCTTAAAATTTGATCTAACGGTTACAAATAAGACCCACTCTAAAGTTATAATATATTTAACCGTTAAATCAAATTTTAAAAGTTCAAATTATTTGATGTGGATAATTAGGTAGAAAAAGTAGAAAAGATTCGGAGATGATACCTTTCCTTTTCTTAGTTTATATCTCATGTGCCGATTTGGTGTTGGGGCTGTTTGATCTGGGCCCAAAAACGATATTCTTTGTTTCAAGTCCAATTTGTAACTAGTTTTCAAGCTCACACACTTTGTATCCCTTATTTATTTGGTATTGGTATTGAAACTTCAGGAAGTATCATTGTGCTCTCTAAAACTTACTAAACCTAATTGGATAAATAGTTCCGATTGTAAGAAAGTAGTTGAAATATAGTTTTCATAGTAAAAAAATTCGAATTTAAACTCCTGCAGTAATGTCCGTTAGAATATATGCCCAAAACAAAATTTTGGTTAGTTTTCCGTTAACTCCATTAGTTATGCTCTACACTTACAACCAAGGTTCTCTACCCACCACTGCCAATGGTGAAGCAGCCAACCACATCTTGGAAAATGTTATCATCTGCTACCGCCCTAAAATCTTTTTCTTTCCTTCTAAACTTCTGAAGTAGCGAAAACAAAATCCTAAAAATGGTGGTGGCTGGAAATTAGTGACAGATGAAGCTCATTCAGATATCTGCACTTTCTCCATGGCAGAGTGACCTCTCGGACTCCGAGCCACACTCGGCTTCCTCCACAGCTGCCGAAGTCGAAGCCATTAATTCGAGCGGTCTCTCAGGGATTAAATCAAACACCTTCAGTGCAATATGTTTTTATCTCCCTCATGTTCGAACTATGGACTGCTAATCATTGTGGGGTTTTGTCTCTGAAATCGAATTGGGAGATTGGGGGAGGAAGTTGAGCTTTTTGGGTTTTTTTTTTTTCTCTTTTTCTCATTAGCATTACTTGTATTTAGAGTCAGCTGCATCCTCTGTTTTTCTTGTTTTCAAATGTTTCGCTTCGCGAATACCGTGAATGGAATGATACATTTTGCAGGAAAAAGATAGCATATCGAAAAATCGTGCTCAAAGACCTTCGATTCACCATTGCTCTCATCTAGCATTGTGTGAATTCAAGCTTGTTCTTGGTTATATTGAGCTAGCTTGTTGGAAAGGTTGCATTATCAAGCCTGTGTACTTAAAAAAAAATTAAAATTTAAAAAAAAAAATCTCAACGGAGAAACTAATGGAAAATTTAATTTTGGGTTTAATTCCTAACGAACTTCAAAACAGGGGGTTTAATTCAAATTCAATCTTATGGTATATGGAACCTTGAGCATGAAATGTGTAAAACCACGTCTTCCTATTGCTAGGTTTTCGTCAACATGAACTCCCATTGAAGTGAAGGCAAAAATGTGGTTGTAAGCTCGTATATTCTGCCTAAAATGTCTCCCCTTGGCAAATTGGTTGTAAAAGAGCTCAGTCATTCCAGGAGGGGACAGTGTCAATGGTAAAGCAAGCTTTCCACGTAAGCAACACATTTTAGATGTTTCATGAGAGAACAAACGGGCATGACAATCTGGACATGTGGTTGGAATTGGCATGTGAAATCTTAGGATTTCTATGTTTTCATTAAAGTTTCTAGCACAATTATGAATTGGCCTTGTTCCCATAATATGCTATTGAGGTGGTACGTCCTCGTTAGGTTGGATCTCATTTTCATTAATGAGATTAAAATCATTTGCTTCAAAAGGAAACACTAAAGGTGTTTTATGATTTAGAGAGCATAGTTGAATTTGTAGGTATTAATATTCAAAAATTGATACCTTCATTGATGATGGGTGGATAAGAATATTCATTGGAGTATTCGAACTGAATGATTGCGATGTTGTATTTTCTGTTATAATCAAATGAAATGGAAATAAGGTAATAAGTGGTGCTTACAGTAATGATGATATTGATGTTTATCCTTTTCAAAGTTGTACTATGGTAGTTTGTACGATCACCATTATTAGTAAAACTTTGAATAAGTCCATCCTAAGGCAAGTGTGTCCTATTTGATTGGGCAATTTGCCTTATATGAGTTAAGATCATTGTTCTTGGAACTTGATTGTTGTTGCCTTCTCCAAACGGCACTATGTTGAGTCGTTCAACATTATTGCTACTGCCTTCATCGAATTGCACTATGTTAGGGTGTTGAATTTGATCGGTATCACCACCAAATAACATTATGTTTGAGCGTTGAATTTGTTGAACACGATAATTGGATTGTCATCGTGCTAAGTAATCGTGTCTTTGCCTTGAACTCATTGAATTCCGCCTCATACGTTGTTGATCCCGTCATTGCTCTCGTTGGCTTTGTCTCTCATCAGTAACATATGCATTTTGTTGCTCTAAACCAAGAACGTAATGGTGCACGAAAAATATTAGTAAGCATAGAATATTATTTAAGTACCTACATACTTATTTTTTTTCCTTTTGTTTTTGTAATTAAATCAGTGGTATACATTATGTTTTTTTGTCTTTTTCGTTTGATTGGAAAAAAATAAAAAAGTTTACGGTAGACTTAGTTTATTAAAGAGTAAATATTATAACAGTGGTAAAATAAAATTAGTTTACAGCGGACTTGATTTACCACATAGTGACATGGGAAGAGAAGATGAGGACAAAGGAACAGTTTCTACTACCTTAGTGTTTTGGGGTAAAAAAAAAGGTTCATTCCACTATTTTTTATAGAACTTTTCATTTTTTTAATTTCTGTTGCTATATCAATATACTACATCTTTATGTGATGTTCTTTTTATATTTTTCTCTTGACTATTATAGTTGAACTATTATTCCAAGTTTACATAAAAATTTTATCACCTATCGTTCCAAACATATTCCTTTCCATATTATTTTTTTGTCTGTAGACATAGCAGAATTATTAAATGGATGTTTGCATTGATAGTACAAAAAGACAATGACAATGTAAAATCACTATTCGTTTAATATTAATAGATATGTGTTAATAATTCATACAAAAATATTCATACAACGTATGGATTTTCAAATATATAATTAATAGAGACAAAAAAAACAAATCATATTTACCCGCCAATGTTGGTTCTATATATGTCTTCTTGGTTTACTTCCATTTGATTTTGTATTATATTTACTAAGTTCAATCGGGTTTGATAATTGACACATCGTCGCATTGAAATTCAGGCATGTTGTGATGAATTCATAGATTGTCGTTTTTGCCCTTGTTGATTGCTCCTATGATACCTTTGGTCGGACCATTGAGAGTTGTGAACATTTGTTTGTCCGAAGTGAACTTCTTCATTGCCAACCTGCATTGAGAAATTGCCAAAGAGAATGAATTTTATTTTATTTTATTTTTGAAAAAGAAGAAAAAATAAATCATCTCTACAGAAGAGGAATAATGCAGATAAGTTAACAACCTCTGACATATTGCTTCTATCAATTTCCTCCATACTTGATATGCTGAAGTCCTCTGAAAATCTTAAAACTGAAATTTCAATTTGATGATTCTTAATAAAGGTAAAATTGAAGAAAAATATGAAAACATACCATTGAAATTCAACAATGGAAAATGATGCTTGCACAAATTAGATCACAGTTAAAAGATTCATGAAATTGTACACTATCGAATTGACAAAGCACATAACATGGAGAATTTTGAAAAGGAAAAAACACAGAATGACACAAACTAATAGGAGGGAGCCAAACATATACCACCATAACCAAAATTAAGACATTAGGCATAAAAAAGTGATGCCTTTGATGACATTCAAAGTAAATATTAAACATGTTGTGCGATGGTCTACCATCTAACAAAATTAAGAATGGATAGGGAAATACCTTAGTAATGAAATAAGGGAAATACCTTAGTAACGCAGTAATTCTGTTTGAATGCTCCACTAATTCACTGCACCAAAGTCTATTTAACCAAAAAGAAATGAGGAGAATGTAGACAGGGAATTGATATTAGTAGTGCAAACCACTAAATGAAATGCATATATACCCACTACCAATTAATAGTCCGAGTCTGTAATCCCTATTTAAGCTTGCCAAAATGAAACTCAAAATGAATTATGGTAAGTATATGTTACAACCACCCCCATATTTCCATTTTATTTCTATTTCCCCCTAGAACATTTTTAAATCTATCAATTTAATCCCTTATCTCTTTTAATCCTAACCCTTGATCTAGATTCCCTATTGCTCCTAAACTGCCACGTGGCAGGTTCTCATATCTCTTCTCTTTCCCCCTGCCCGAGTCTTCCCTCTTAGACATCTCTCTCTCTCACAAGATCTCTCTTCTATCTATTTCACTCCCTGCACCGTGACCAACCAAGCAACATGCATGCAGCTCTAGTGTAGACCATTTTCATAACCTTGTTGACACCATCTTTCTCTCTCTCTGTCGCAGTGAAGTCAGGGAACCCAAAGAAGGGACCTCGAACGGATCTCTTCATTTCTTCTGGCTAGGTTTGAGGACGGGAACGGCACGAGGAAAGCTCACCTGCATTTTCCGACGAAACTGTGAATTTTGAGGATTCTCTCCGAGCTCTCACGGTCGTTCACGGCGAAGCTAGGGTGAAGTTGCTAGTGAGGAAATTCTTAATCCTTATTCGCACAACTCTACTGCTAAGGAGTATTTGTGAGTGGACCCTTTCTAAAATTTGCGTAATTTCCTAATTTAATTGCATAAATAAAATGCATGCCTTACGAGTTTATGAACTGATTTTATGTTAAGCATGTTTATGAAATATGTTGTTTATCGTCTCGTGCTTTTGTGAGGAATTAATTGTTGGCCTTTATTGAGTTATATTTTAATATATCATATTTT